AAAGAATTCCATGTGTTATTTCTCTACCCCTCTCCCCCTACCTTGACTTACTGCTTTGCAGAAGAGTGAAATAAACAACCTATGGAATTTCTCAGAACTAGTAAGAATCCTCATATGGAGACAAAATGCACCAAATATTTTATGGACAAATAGCATAAATTCTTATTTTTGTACTTTTTTATTTTTGGCTACTTTAATGATGCTAACCAAAAAAAAAAATCAGATTTCCTTCTGGAACTACAGCCTCCCACCTTTACCTGCCCTTAAGTTTATCTTTTAAAAGGAGCAATTGTTTATTTATGCTGCCAAATCTAGCTGCCAAGTTGGCCAGCTTTCCAGAGTGTCCAGGGAAACTATTCATCCACAATACACAATGGGAATTAATTGTCTAATAAATAAGCAGAGATCAAAGGGCTATAAATCTGGTGCACAGGTGCTATTCATTTAAGCCACAAGAACAACTACCTAAAACTTGAAAGTACAAAGAAATAAGTTCAGAGTTTAAGAGGGGTGTGTGTGTGTGTGTGTGTGTGTGTGCCTAGTTAGAAGTGGGGATGGCTTTGCTTGCTGTATATCAGAAACTGACAAAAATATGGATATAAAATGTCTTGGCACAAAACATATACATGAATCTGGTCCAGGTTCTATGTTCCTTTCATTTTGTAAGCAGGGTTGCAAGGGTTGAGAAGTGAGGGGGTTAGAAAGGATAGACTCCAGATGTTGACTTTAAAAACAACAATGATCCAGGTTAATCCCAACAGAGAATGTTCTTAATCAATAACCTACGACATATTCTGGTGGCCTATGAGGCTTACATCAGGCTTTCAGTCCTGTTTAACCCTGGCATTATCTGTGTCAGGAGCTATACTGGCTGCTGACTGTATTTGGATTACAACCTTATTCATATTCAGAGGAAATGCCCTAGGTCAGTAAGTGTTCAGCTAGGTAACCCTGAGGTCGGGTTTAATTGCCCTAAAAGGTGGCACATGGAAACAAAGGCTCTCTAATGATTTAGACAGTATCTATTTCACATCAAGACATTGGGACTCTGAAGAGGCCTCATTGAAAGTAATCTGAAAATTAGTGTAAATAAAAACCATGCACATTGTTACCTAAATACCTATTTCCTTTCATTATATCCCCCAAACAACCTTGTCATGGGGACATTACCTCTTTTCTTTTCCACTAATATGCAATTGCCTGAGAGAAATGTTAGTTACTCATTATCAAACTGTGACACTGCAAATATTATTTTTCCAATTAAATGTCAAATGGGAAGAAAAGGGGAGTTGTTCTTCCAGGGTCAATAAAAACTTTGAATTTGGTTTTGTGTGAGAGAGATCTAATATTAACTTATCGGTCCCCTATTTATATTGCATGCTGTAACTGCACATATCTTATTTTTAAGAGTGGAGGCAGAGACTCCATAACAATTAGTGATAGATGCACTGTTTGAGGCTACTGTTTTATCCCCTGTGGCAAAATAAAAATATAGTAGTTGCATTTCTGATGAAAATGGGAAGACCTGGTTGGCAAAAATGTGTAACCAAGATCTCATTCACACCAGACAGTTGTCTCAGAGAAGCCACTTCTCTCAACATCATCCAGCCTTGTGAAAGTAGGTAGGCAACCATAAGGCCTAGAGCATTTTTGGTAGCTGTACCAAATTAATGGCATGACCTGCAACATTGGTTTATCTCAGGTCCATGCTATCTGAAGGACCATGTCTTCCAGTGTGAACCTATCTGCCTGCACTGTAAGAACTTTGGGACAGGGAGCCTCTCTTGAGCCACTCACTTTTACAAGCATCTTTGGTGGGAAGAACAGGGGCATCGCTAAGGGGGTGCAGAGGGAGTGGACCACACTGAGTGACACCCCAGAAGAGGAGTGACACCCAGTTGGGTGCTCCCATCTGTGCCATCCTATCCTTTCCATGAGAAGAATTATGGGGTGGCCCTGAGGGAATCCCCAGAGGGAGAATAGGTAAGAGACCGTCTCGGGGTGGAGACGCCATTCGTGAGATGGGTTGGAGGAATGACTGAGGCTGTCGGCCAATTAGTTCTGTTGTCCTGGAAGGTGAATGGCCTGGAGGAGGGTGTTGTGGTCGATGCACCAGTTCAGAATGTGAAGAGTGATATTGAGTAACGTCTTTGACTTGGTTCCACCTTGTTTGTTCAAGTAGTACATGACGGTGGTGTTGTCCGTCATGAGGAGAACCACCTTGTTGGACAAGTGAAATTGGAAGGCCTTGAGTGCTTTTTCCACAGCTAGCATCTCTAAGGCGTTGATGTGAAGTTGTCACTCTGGAATGGACCAAGAGCCTTTTACTGTCAGTCCTTTGGAATGTGCTCCCCAACCTCTTTCCGATGCATCTGTGGTGAGAGTCACTTCCGGTTGAGGAGGAAGGAAAGGCATCCCGGAGCAGACATTGTCGGGATGGAGCCACCACTGAAGGGACGTCTTTAGTCGAGGTGGA